GCCCGAACAGTTGATCACACAGGCGTTGCTGGACAGGAAACCTGCGCTCACGTAGTTTTTCAGCAAACACAGTGGGTCAAGTGCCTGGGGCTGTGGGAAAGGTGTCGGTCTTGATGTGTTCCAACGCGCATTGCTGAAACTGGCACTGCAATCCTGCACCACATGCAAGCACAGCAAAGCCTCCTTTGCTGCATACAGCAAAATTGTATACAATTGCTGAAGGCATCTGCTTAGGTGCTGTGTGAATACTTGCATGAAAACTGCCATTAAGACCAAGTAAATGGTCACGCTCCAGGCTTGGCCACTACGAACACTCTGTGGTACAGTTTCGACCTAAACCCGAAAGTGTAGACCCAGAACCTTCAGATCTCAAGTCTAAACCATAGTCCAATTGATTTTTGCAAGTAGTGCAGTGAAGGGAAGCAGACGAGTTGCACAAACAGCACGGCCTCATACTGCCCTAGACAGTGGTTGAGAAAACACGGCACTGCAATCGTCTCCAGTAGCCTCCTCAGGGCCTGCTGTACGGGGCTGTTGTGTTACCACCTTTTCGTCCGTTCGTTGCGGTCGTATTTGGTGTTATTTGTCGTGTTAATTGAATTTAATGCCGCAATGGAGGCCCACATCTTTGTTTCAGCTGCCTCTTTCTGAACTAACGAACTGAACTTCTGCCGCTGCCGCGGCAGAGACTCGGCTACTCTAGTTGTGGTTTTTGGTGCCACTAGTTGGCACTTAAGATGCCCCTTCTCGACATATTTTAATGCAAATCCATCAAACATATTATTCCGTCCCTAATCACTTTGAACGAGGCAACGGGAAGAAGAGAATGTCGAGGATCTATTTGCCGCTGCTGCTGGTGCAGCTGCTGTTGCAGTTTGCTTCAGTTGCCTATGGCTCTTCTGGTGCAGGGTTGTGGAACTCTCTAGCCAATGAGGTGGAGGTACAGGGAGGAACCGTCACGGCAGGAAGCGAGGGCGCAGGCGTTGCTGCAGAAGGCCCCTTAGGTCCCGGTCAAATGAGATCGGGAGACGTGGTGCAGACTGCTGCATCGAATGCGGAGATGCAGAAAACCCGATTGTTGCAGCAGCAGAAGCGGCAGCTGGTTGGTTCCATTGTGTCCCCCATCATGTCCTTTGTGGTGTTGATGCTGTTGTATTTCTTTGCTTATATTTCCTTTGTCGGTCCGCGCAAAGTCTTTGTTTGCCGCGTGCACAGGCTTCACCTTTTCAGTCGCAATCGCGACGGGCGCTTGGATGTTTGCGTCGGCCTTACTAACAGCTATATTCTCCCAATATTTTCGCTTCAAAGTCCTCAGCTTGGTCAAGTACCTCGCGCAGAAGCTGCATGGGGCGGAGCAACTCAATTCGGAACAGCCTGAGAGGAAGCTACGTCAGGAAGAGCAGCCGGGAAGCGAAGTTGATGTTGCGTCAACCGAAAGCAGCCGCTGAATGCTGCAGCTAGATTGACAGCCGAAGCCCCCCCAACTGTCTCCTACACCGCCAGCTTGCTGGTGGACGCTTGAGAGGGAGGCAACGCAGCATGTTAGCAAAAAAGCTAGGTGCCCCTATCCAGCCACTGCAACTGCTGGTCGAACGGGACAGCGCGCAGTTGGTGCAGGTGCTGTTACTGTGCAGGCGAAGGTAAACATGGACACACCCAAGGGTTTTACATCTCGTCTTCCTTTGAACAGATTATGTACCTCCAGCAAACGTGCTTGAAAGGGAAAAAATCAATGAGCTTGTGTGAGTGTGTGTGCTTGAGGGGGGATGGATGGGGAGGTGGAGGTAGAGGGGACGTCTGGATGAGATGATCCCCAGGAAGCGCGCCCTGGGTACTGTTTAGTCTTTTAGTATGCGCCTGGCATGTGCTGAAGCTGCAGGAGCAGCAGCAGCTTGAGTAACAATGCAAACGCGGGAAACGACTATTTGATATGATAGACGATCTGCAGGTCTTGTAGAGGCAGTTGCTGAGTGTTGAGAAGCTTAGTGTTAGTTTAGCTACCTAACGCGTCACGTTTCTGGCTAGGTGGTAGTTCGTTTGCTGGTTGTCTAGTCATTCCAGCGTTTGTCAGCTGTGGAAAACGGTCATCAGTTCATGGTGTTGCTAGTGAGAATGACCGTCACCTTGGAGGCGGCAGGTGGAGATTTAGCTTGCCTGCTGGTGATTCAGCTCGCTAGGTTGCTAGACAGCGAGACACTTGTCTAGCCAACCATATATCTAGGTTGCTAACCAACAAGTCAGCTAGCTAGGTTGGTAGCCAGCCATCTAGCTAGCCAGTTAGCAAGGGGTGGGAATTGGTCCGTCTGAAACATAGTGATTGAGGCTGGGTTTGTCATTTTGTTCGAAGTAGCATGCAGAAAGTAGGAAGATTGAGA